AATTCCTCCAGAGGCTATTGAGATCCATATTCAAATGTAGTTATTGTTATTGCAGCTGTTATAATCAGCATTCAAGGAGTACACAAATTTAATTGATTATTTTAGACAATCATGGCCCCTTGCCATATTGGATTTCTGGATTGGATTGTTGTTAATGATGGTTCCAAAGATTATTTAGGGATATCTAGCTTTGGAAACTACATGTGCTTCTTGTCCTCTTCTGTATACAGTTCACAATACAAAATAATAGTTTTTGGGTATGTACTACCTCTTTTGGCTCAAACAAAATTCATGGTTCTTTCTCAGTGTTGGTTGAAAAATTATCAGATAATTATGGGCATAACTTTTTTGCTTTTGTAAAATGCATAAAAATGGGGATGAAAAAGCAAGTTGAAAAGCACAAACATTAGTTTTAATGTCACAATGATATTTAATGAACATAAATGCTGGCTATTTAAATAGTTATTCTTTTTGCTTTAAACCAACAATGATTTTTCTCCCACTAGGGTGACTCCGGGGGTCCACTGATGACATTTGATTCAAGACGAATGTGGTACCTTGTTGGAATAGTGAGCTGGGGGGATGAATGTGGAAAACCAAATAAGCCTGGTGTCTACACACAAGTAACTTACTATCGAGACTGGATTACTAAATATACCGGGCTTTGATATAATAACTATAAAAAGCTGCACATGTTTGAAGCTGCATAGATGACATCTAGGTGGTACAAAGGACTATGATTTTATATAAAAATATTTGTGTTATCCTATAAGTCATTAATAAAACTAGCATGTTTTAAAAAGAAATAATATATTTGGACTGTTAAACCAAAGCACTATTGTAAAATGTGTATTCCCAGTGAAAAGATTGTAAATTTGCTTTCACATAGACTGAATCATTTCGTTCACTTTCCAACTGTTCTGTTTTCCCGTGCCTTCAAAAGACATTAGTGAAAGAGAGTCTAAGTCTTAAAAACACTGAGCATTATCCTTAACTATTAAGCAGCTACATGTCAACAACAGTCCTTGGTAAGTTTGACGTGGGCTGCACAAAGCATTCATTTTTAAAGAGATGCATATTAAGATTTCTGGGCCTATCTGACAGAAAATGAGAAACAGAAATGTCTCATTGCTAGGCATATCTAAGAACAAAGGTGGTATTCAGTTGATTCGCACTGGTTTGGAAGAACCGGTTGTTAAATTTTTGCGCAGTTCAGAGAACTGGCAAATCACACTCCAAGCTGGCCCTGCCCTGTCCCTCCCTGCCCCTCCCAGTCACTCCTTATGTTACATCTGGCAGAGCTGCTTCTCTCTGCTTCCCTCACTCACTTGTCTCGACCACGCGGTCCCCACGCATGGCTTACCTTCCTGCCTCAGGTATCTGCCTTCCCTGATCTCTGCTCCTCACTCAGCTGCCTCCCCTGTCCCGGCCTACTTTTCTGCTGCCTGAACTGCCTGCCTGTGCCTTCCCCGATCTCTGCAGGTTTCCCCCCAGCATCCTACCTTTCTGCTCCATTTCTGCTGTCTGTGCCTTCCCCAATCTCCACAGGTTCCCCCCCCCAAATGGCCCTAACTTTCTGCTCCATTCCTGCCTTCCTTGCCTTCTCTGATCTCCGCAGGTTCCCCCCCAGCACGCCCTCCATTTCTGCCACCTGTGCCTTCCCAGAGCTTCGCAGGTTCCCCTCCCAGCACACCCTAACTTTCTGCTCTGTTTGTGCTGCCTGTGCCTTCCCAGATCTCTGCAGGCTCCCTCCCAGCATGCCCTACATTTCTGCTGCCTGAACTGCCTGCCTGTGCCTTCCCTTATCTCAGCTGCCTCCCCACCATCGAGGGCTACCTTTCAATAAAGCCATCCTATGGAATCATTACTTGTTTTTCAAGAATATGTGCTACTTGGCTTGAGTACAAGCTGAGCCCAATACTGAACCTAATTCATATATTCTGTTTTTTAAACTGAGGAATAAATTTCAGAAAAAGAAATCAGTATTGTTCTTTGAATGTACCTATGAATTTCATTCGATGACTTCTTAGATTATTTTGGACTATATCTTTTTTGTTTGTCCCCATTTTGTTGGACCCCAATCCCGCTCAGTCTTAAAAGTTTACCACACTTGTGAGGTCCTTCTAGTTGCAAAGCATAATCTGAAAATATGTTTGATTATTAACAAAGCCTCAATGATATCTTGCAAACCAGTTGTTATAGGTTGTAGAGAAAGTGGTGGCACTTCAGCTCCTGCGGTCATTGGATGAAACAGATTATCTGGACCCTTTTCAGTCCGGCTTCAGACCTGGCTACAGCACAGAAACTGCCTTGGTCACGCTGATGGATGATTTCTGGCGAGCCCGAGACAGGGGTCATTCCTCTATCTTGGTGCTACTTGACCTCTCAGCGGCTTTCAATACCATTGACCATGGTATCCTTCTGGGGCGACTGAGAGAGCTGGAAGTGGGAGGCACCATGTTGCGGTGGTTCACCTATCTCTCTGGTCGATCACAGTCGGTGCTGGTAGGAGGACAGAGGTTGTCCCCTAGGCCCCTCGTCTGCGGGGTGCTCAGGGCTCGGTCCTCTCTCCCCTCCTATTTAACATCTACATGAAACCATTGGGTGAAATCATCCGATGACATGGGGTGGGATATCAGTAATATGCTGATACCCAGCTGTATATCTCCACCCCTCGTCAGTTCAGTGAGGCAGTAGATGTGATGTGCCGGTGCCTGGAGGCTGTGAGGATCTGGATGGGAGTCAACAGGCTCAGACTTAACCCAGGCAAGACCGAATGGCTCTGAGTATTGCCTCCTAAAGACTATTTGATTGTCCATCCTTCGTTCTGGGGAGAGAGAAAGTGCCCCCCTCAGAACGGGCTCGCAATTTGGGTGTCCTTCTAGACTCACAGCTGAGATTGGAACAACATCTGACAGCTGTAGCAAGGGGGACCTTTGCACAGGTTCATCTGGTGCACCAATTGCGATCCTACTTGGATCAGGAGGCTCTCCTCACAGTCACTCATGCCCTTGTCACCTCATGGTTGGACTACTGCAACACGCTCTACATGGGGCTACCTTTGAAAAGTGTTCAGAGACTACAGTTGGTCCAGAATGCAGCCACGCGAGTTATAGTGGGTGCACCTAGATACACCCACATTACACCAATTCTCCGCGAGCTGCACAGGCTCCCTATCAGTCTCCGGGTGCAATTCAAGATGTTGGTTATTACCTTTAAAGCCCTACATGGCTCAGGACCAGGCTATCTTCGGGACTGCCTTCTACCACATAGCTCCCAGCGACCAGTAAGATCCCACAGAGTCGGTCTCCTCCAGGTCCCGTCAGCTAAACAATGTTGGCTGGTGGGCCCGCGGGGGAGGGCCTTCTCTGTGGCTGCCCCGGCTTTCTGGAACCAATTACCTCCTGAAGTCCGGACCGCCCCCACCCTATTGGCCTTCTGGAAAACGATGAAGACCTGGCTCTTCCGGCAGGCCTGGGGCGTTGATCTCGTTAGTGATCTTGCGAGACCCGGCCACAAATTGGAGTGTATGTGTTTTAACGTTTTAATGTTTTCTTTTAACCTTTGTATGGGATATTGTTGCATTGTTTTATTCTCTGTTGTAAGCCGCCCAGAGTCCGTTGGGAGTTGGGCGACATAGAAATGCGACTAAATAAATAAATAAATAAATAAATAATACTTTTCTTAAAAGTTGAGGATTTGTTTAGCTCACCAACAATTTTTGTTGAGCTAGTTGAATTGGAAAAACAAGATGCAGAGACAATATGTTTTTTAGTTATGAAAAATTTAAATAATGTTGGACTTACTAAGAACTACCTAGAAAAAAAAATTAATAGGATTTTGCTCTGATGGTGCCAGCATTATGCTTGGGAGAAAATCTGGAGTGAGCACTAGAGTAGCAAAAGAGTTTCCAAACATAATTATATGGCACTGCTTAAACCATCACCTCCAACTTGTTTTAAATGATTTGATAAAGGAAATAAAGCAAGTAAAACATTTAAAAATATATATTGATAAGATATAAACTGTTTTTCATCAATCCAATAAGAACCAAATTGAACTTACCAAAATAGCCAAACAACTTGGAATTGAAATTATAAATATTGGTAGAGTTTTAGGACCAAGATGGGCTGCCTGTAGTTTAAGGTCAACCCTAGCTGTGTGGCATGCTTATCCAGTGCTACACCAGTATTTTAATTAAAATGAAAAATACTTAAGTATGGCTGCCCGTCTTAAAAATATATATTTTATAACTAATTTGGCATTGATGATTGACATTCTAAATGAAATTTATCTTCTTTCAAATGCATTGCAAACAAGAAATTTAGACACAATAAAGGCTGAAAAACTTGTGATAAGATTTATTAAAGCATTTGAAATGCTTAGACAGGAAAAGGGTGTATCCAAAATAAAAAGTTAATGAATTAATTACTTCAGAAACCTTCAAAAATATAAAATTTGTAGAAAATCATCAATTTGTTGGGCTTCCTCAGGAAAAAACTTTTAGAAAACATCATAACAAATTTGAATAAAAGACTAATGGATTGTGAACATTAAAAAACAGATTGTAGCAAATTTCAAGACAGAAATAAATTACAATTTCTCAATTTTTTGAAGCCAGATTACTGGAATATTGAAGAAGTAGTAGTAGTAGTAGGAAAGCAGCTGAAGAACAATTGCTCTTATTTAGTGACCATTTTAATTACCAAATTAATATTAATGATTATCGAGATTTTGTAGAAATGTTTTTTAAAATTCCCAGAAATATACAATTCCTGATAGTATTCAAAAAGCTAAAGTTGCCTGTTTCCAATATATATATCTAATATATAACAAACCTAATGACTATTAGTCTAATGACTACTGGCCTACCTCTAAAGGAATGGGACCCTATTCCTACAGTCAAAAAATGGTTAAGAGTAAATCACACAGCCGATGAAGCTCGAGTATAACTGATGAAAGATGCAAGTGAGGATGCCAATCAAACAGCGGTTTGGAAATACCTTAAATAACAGTTTTATTGTGTTTTTTTGTCAGGTATTTAACAGTTTTTCATTAATATTGTAAAACTCTTTCTTGTAACAAAATCTAGTTTTGTGTACCTCTTTTATTATTCTTATTTAAGTATTAAATGCATGAAATAATAAACTACCTTTTGGTATATCTTTTTTTATACTTAAAACAGTTATTAGGACAAAGAAGTGATGTTGAGTTGGCTGTGCCCACTCAGTCACATGCCCACCCAGCCACGCCCACCCAGTCAGATGACAACCCAACCATGCTCACCCAGCCAGTCATTAGAGCAGAGAACTGGTTGTTAAATTATTTGAATCCCACCACTGCCTAAGAGGTCAGGATTTAAAGTAGAACTGCTTCCCATTCAGAAATATGTAAACATTGCTGTAGCTTTTCTTCCTGAGCCCCCTCATTATTCTATTGTATCAGAAACATAATGCATTTATTAGCATTTCCATCTATGGGTATAGCAAATGTTAATTTTGATGGTGATGGTAGTGGTGGTGCTAGGGTAGCATCCAAAACTCCTGCATTGTTTTCTGACATTCTCCTGCAAAACCTTCTGGGAAGAGAAAATAGATAAATATCTTCATGAAAACATGCATAGCTGTCAATCAGCACTATGCCTATTTAGTAAATTTGTAGAATTCCCTTTTCAAAGCTCCACCCTGATGAATATACTATATTTTGATTATAACAATTTATTGAAAATTCTGTAATCTATATTTTCTCTTTCCTCCACCCTCAAATCTTCAAAAATAAAAGTCAAGCAGGAATCACCATGTTGGCTGACTTCCAAAATTAAGCAGGGTTGGGCCTGGTTAGTACTTAGATGATAGACCACTCTCCAGAATGGCAGGAGGGAAGATAATGTCTGTCAAGGATCAGATTCTTGGAATGTCTTTGAAAAAGCTGTCAGTTGTCATCGGAACAAATTAAGACAATGAGTATTAGTCTATCCTGTCACCAAGAGTAAAAGCCAACTGAATGGCACCGTGCTAATTAATCAACAGAGCACTATCCCAACTTTGATCTTTTTTCCCCATTAAATGATAATTGCTCTATTTTGGAACAGAGGGAAAAACAATCTAGTCCTTAGCAATGTTTCTCAACTACAACCTGCCTTTTAACCCTTCTTTCCCTTCTGAACAGTTTTGCTCTCCAAATCTTTCCCCACTTGTGTTCTTTCAACTCTACTTTACCTTCTTTCCCCAAGACTCTCACTATTGATTGGTTCCCCTACCAGGGGGCAGTACTTGACAGGAGAGGGGGAAGGAATCTTAGCAGATCTATGCTACAACCCCAATGAAACTCCACGGGGAAACACAGAAGTGAGCGTGAAGCAGCGGCTACATTCAGCGCAAGCGCACCTTCTATGTCATCATGCCGCTCACAGCTTCAAACATGGAAAAAGTTTAGATTGAACTAGACCTAAGTTTCAATAGCTGTTTCTCTCCCACTCTGAGATTCTCAGAGGGATGGAGATGGGTGTAGGAGATTTGGCTACTGTTGGTGTATCTGAGTTGGGGGAGGTCATAAGTAGATGACAGTGATCTCCTCTCAGACCTACAAGAGAACACATTCAGGTCATCTGGCAGTTTATGATTCTCTTCAGTAAGGGAAGGAAATCTGCTTAGCCAATAATGTTCTTCAGGCTTCTCCACTATTAGTCAGAGAAGTTTTTCTTTGCTCCTCTGATCTCCCTTGTTAATACATTCCTGGCCTGATTGTGTGTATATATATGCACATGCACACACATACAAACTCTTGATAGGCGCACATATGTCCTCACAAAAACTAACATATAGAGCTGTGATAGCACAGTGGTTAGAATGCAATATTGCAGGCTAATTCTGCTGACTACCAACTGTCAGCAGTTTGGCAATTCAATTCTCACTGGCTCAAGGTTGACTCAGCCTTCCATCCTTCCAAGGTGAGTAAAATAAGGACCCAGATTGTTGGGGAAAATATGCTGACTCTGTAAATACTTAAAAAGGACTGTAAAGCACTGTGAAGCGATATATAAATCTAATATATGCTATATGATTTCATAGTATTAGTAAATTCATCCAAGTCTTTTGAAGCAGCTTCAAAAACACTCGTCAGTGTACTTGCAGCAAGCCTGTAGTTCTAAGTTTGCTTCCTCATCCAAGACTTCACTAATTTGACTACGGGCTTTGTGGTTTTAAGTTTCTGCCTGCAGGTGGGGATGAGATGGATCATACCAGGATCAGAAAGACGTATAGCTGCTCTCAGGAGAAAGTGATAAGCATCTTTTAACACAGAGTAGCAATGATCCAATATGTTCTTTCCTCTGATGAGACAGCTGACATGCTTAGTGTATCTAAGCAACTCATGAATGAAATTAGCTCTGTTAAAATCCTCTAAAACCATGATGGCGAACCTATCGCACGCATGCCAGAAGTGGCATGCAGCGCTCTCTCTGTGGGCATGTGAGCTGTCGCCCCAGTTCAGCTCCACTGTGCATGCACATGCACCTCCTGTCGGGCAGCTGATCTTCGGGTCTCTGCCGTACATGTGTGGGGGGCAGAGCATGTGCAGGGTGACCTTGCGTGCATGCGTAGGGGTAGGGGGCATGTGGGGGGCATGCACATGTGCAATGGGGCACGCATGGGTGGCTGTGTGCGGGGGCACAAGCGCATGTGCGGGGGCACAAGCGCATGTGCGGGGGCAGGCTGCAAGCATATGCATGCAACGCATCCAGCAGGCTGGACCATGTGCCTCTCCTATGTGCCTCTGTCTATCGGCTACTGCTACTATTGCCACTGCCACAGGCCAAGACAAGATAAGGCAGAGGGTAGGACAGCTGCTGCCAGATACCATCAGCCCACTATTCTGTTCCATCTCTTCCTGCTTGTGGTTGGAGAGCAGGTCACTGCTGGTCATCTCTTTGCCCCCTCGTGGGTCTTAGTTTAGTTTAGTTTAGTTTAGTTTAGTTTAGTTTAGTTTAGTTTAGTTTAGTTTAGTTTAGTTTAGTTTAGTTTAGTTTATTTGATTTGTATACCACCCTACTCCCGAAGGACTCAGGGCGGTGAACAGCCAACAATAAAATACATAGATACAAAAAATTTAAAAACCAGATAAAATCAAATTAAATCATTTTGGCCCAGACAGATTAAAACACCCCAATAATTTAAAAACAGATTAAAATTTACATATTTAAAAAGGGAAGAGATTAGGCCAAGCCCGCCTGATGGAATAAAAAGGTCTTCACAGCACAGCGGAAGGTGCGCAGATCCGGGATCCTCCGTATCTCCAGGGGGAGCTCATTCCAGATGGTAGGTGCCCTCACAGAGAAGGCTCTCCCCCTAGGGGCCGCCAGTCGACACTGTTTGGCTGACGGCACCCAGAGGAGTCCCTCTCTATGAGAGCGTACTGGCCGGTGGGAGGCTATTGGTGGTAGTAGGCGGTCCCGTAGATAACCAGGTCCTAAGCCATGAAGCGCTTTAAAGGTGGTAACCAAAACCTTGAAGCGCACCCGGAAGACCACCGGGAGCCAGTGCAGCTCGCGCAGGAGAGGTGTTACATGGGAGCGCCATGTCGCTCCCATTACCACCCGCACGGCCGCACTCTGCGCCAGTTGGAGCCTCCGGGTGCTCCTCAAGGGGAGCCCCATGTAGAGAGCATTGCAATAGTTCAGGCGGGTCTTGCCTTTGGCCTGCACATGGAGCATGTTCTCCTCACAAACCCGATGCACCTTGGCACTGCTGTGGGTTGCTGACACCACCAGGGCTGCCAGCAGCTTGCACAGGTCCATTAAGCAGTTGCTGTTGCTGTCCAGAGCACCAGGTCAGCCTGAAGGAAGGAAAGCGGCCAACTAGAAAGACCAAGTAGAGGTGGTAGAGCACACCCAGGCCCAGCAGGCAAAAGGTGGCCACTGCGAGCAGGGAAAGCCGGATCTCCATTAGTGCCATGTCTGCCCAGGCCCAGTTGGGTTTGTGTGCCTCCCCCCATCTCTGCTAGGCCTGGGTGGCCATGACGCTGATGGGGATCCAGCTTTCCCTGCTTGCAGTGGACGTCTTTTGCCTGCTAGGCCTGGGTGTGCTCTACCACCTCTACTCAGCCTTTCTAGCTGGCCGCTTCCACTCCTTCAGGCTGGGTAGGTCTGCCAAGTGGCAGCAGTAGTGGCAGCCCACTGCAGGGCTGAGGTGCATTGGGTGCATGAGGGGAATACACTCTGTACACAGGCCAAGGGCAAGACTCACGAGGGGGGCAAGGAGATGATCAGTGGCGACCTGCTCTCCAACCACCAGCCAAAAGAGACAGTGGGATGGAGTAAGTGCATCCAGTGATCCGCATCATGTGTCTCCCCGCAACTTCTGCCTGCTGCTTGGATAGCCAGCCCAGTGGTGGCAGCGTGCATCAGTTGAGGGGCCGGCAGGCTGCAGCTACAGCTGAAAACCATTCCCCTGCACACAAAGGGAGGTGAGCACATGGCCGACAGTGTATGGCTGAAGCTGCCCCACCCCCTACCTTGTCTTACCTCACACCACGGGATGAGCCTTCCACCCACCATCCCACCCACCCACCAGAGACCCCTGGATTCCCTCTTTAACCCTGCCCGGTCCCCACAGGCACTACCCTGTTGAGCCGAAGTGGTGCAATGGTTAGAGTGCAGTACTGCAGCTACTTCAGCTGACTGCTAGTTCAGCAGATCAAATCTCACCGGCTCAAGGCTGACTCAGCCTTCCATCCTTCCGAGGTGGGTAAAATGAGGACCCAGATTGTTGGGGGCAATATACTATTAAGTATACTGTCTTTGGTGTAAGCCGCCCAGAGACCTCGGACAGTGGGCGGAATAGAAATAGGAAAAATAAATAAATAAATAAACAAATAAATAAATAATAAATACCCATGTGAGTGATGTCAAGCTGGCCACACTCCTGGCCATGCCCAATCAGCCATGACCAACTCAGCAGCACCCATCCTCCCCCCCAGCCCTGGAGGACAACCACAATGCTGATCTGGCCCTCAATGAAATTGTATTTGACATTCCTGTACTGCAGTAACAATTCTCCTCAAATTGAGTTTTAAATGTAGGGACATTAAAGAAGACATCTACCTTGAGACATGCCTTGTATCTGAGACTGGTTTTTAGGTAAGAAACTGTCATCATTAAAAAGTGTTCCTGGGCACGTACAGTGGGCTGGCAACTTAATAAGAACCACTTGAAGAATTGTTTTGAACAAAAGAGTTCAGATGACATTAGCTGACCTGACCTGACCAAAACATTCAATATAAATCCAAACTTACCTGGATAAAACTTAGAATGCACTTTTAACATCTTTGGTGCAGTGAGTTCTGGGAAAGAAAATACTCACAATGCAGTATCTTCCCATCCTTATTGTTACGATTTCCAGTTAAAAAAATAATTAGGAGGACATTTTTGCTTTTCAAAGGATAGCTTGGCTTTAAAATATTCTTCTTTCGGGAAAATCCTGATGCTTTTAAAAGACACCTGCTGGACAGAAATAACCATATGAGCAGTGAAAGAAAGCTATATTTGATTTATAAAGCAAAACAACAACACAGTATCATCTGATGCAAAGAGATTACTGGCTAAACTGTTCATCAAGCAGATCTACCAATTCCACGGAGTGCCTTGCTGGGTAATCTCAGATAGAGGCGTTCAGTTCACCACTAAATTCTGGAGAGAATTTCTGAAATCCATCGGGTTGACTCAGGGATTTAGCTCAGATTTTCATCCGAGCACAAATGGAGCTGTAGAATGTACGAACGCCATGGTAGAGCAGTACGTAAGATGCTATGTGGATTACCAACAGAAAATTGGGCAGATCTGTTGTCTTTCGCAGAAATGGCTTACAACAACGCAGTGCGTAGCAGCACTGGACTAACCCCCTTTCAAGTCAACAGAAGCATGGAATTTGTTCTCATGCCTGAGCTGCTGAGAGAGCCACCCTTCTTCATGACTCTTGCCAAATGGATGGAATTGTTCAAGAGGAGTTGGGAAAACACCACAAAAGTGCTAGCAGAGGTAGCAGAAGCATACAAAAACAAGCAGATAAACACCGATCTCTTCAACCCCCTTTTGTGTGGGAGATTGAGTTTACCTGTCCATCAAATACATTAAATTGAAATTGCCCCAGCAGAAAGCTAGGACCTAGGTTCTTAGGACCGTTTCCAATAGTGAAAGTAATTAACCCAGTAACAGTTCAACTTAACCTCCCATGCCTCCCAAGCAACAGCCTCGGTCCTGATTCACCTAGGTTCATTAGTCAGAACCTTGACACACCCACTTAGAACTTTTTCAGCTTTGCTCTCTTTTTATCAGCCTGTTTTTAATGGGCTTGGTGAGCCCATTGGTGGGGCATCTTCCAAAACCTTGCGTATTACTGGCCAGATGTATTGAAATTGTTCAATCCATCCAGAGGTGGAAACAGCTGATTGGCAATGGGGCAGGAAAGTAAGTAAGATTCATTCATTCATTTAAAAAGCCATTTGATTCAATTAATGAATTTGATTTTAAAAATTTGTAAAATTGATTCATTTGATGAATTTGTTGACTTATGAACCTAATGGGCAGGTTCCATTAGATTCATACTTCAAGGACTACCTATAGTTTCATGAGAATTGGGAAATTTGTACTCATAACACTGCTGAGAGGAGTTGCTTATACTTCACCAAGGCCAACTGTCCTGAGATTCTGGAGGTGCACAATATCTACAGAGAATCTTTCCATTAACATCTTACTGGACATTGATTGGACTATTGTGCTTAACCCTGGGGATAGAGATTTGGGGTAATTTTCTTTTTTTAAAAAAAATTCAATAATAATAAAATATTTTACTTATCTACTTTAACAAATCTCCTTTATAATATTAGTCCTTTTTGTATCCCCATGTTTCTAACTTCTGATTTTATTATCTAACCATTGGTAAAATAAGTCCCATGTCAAGAAATATTCAGTTCCTGATTGTAATCTATCCATTTCTGCACATTCTAATATTTTTTAAATTATATTCTTGTCTGTCAGGATCTCTTCACTCTTCCAATGTTGTGCAAATACAATTCTGGCTGCAGTTAGTAGTCAAATATATATTCCTTTTGTTATACTTTTCCGGTAAGATGCCCAACAAAAATATTTCTGGTTTCAAATCTATATGTTGTTTTATCATTTTTTCCAACCAAGTATGTATTTTCATCCAATATTTTTTGCCTTTGGGCATATCCACCACATATGATATGAACCAGGTGTCTGCTTACACTTCCAACATTTAGTGACATGTTTTTAAACATCTTTGCCAATTTTGTTGGTGAAAAATGCCATCTATAAAACATTTTATACAAATTTTCTTTAAGTGCAGTGGACATAGTTAATTGAACATTTCAATCCCACAATTTCTGCCATTTATCCAGTTCTATTGTATATCCAAAGGTTTTAGCTCACACTATCATTGTCTCCCCTACCTGCTCACTTTTAAATTTAATACTTCATAAATAACAATATAATTTCTTTATCAGTTTATCATCTGTTCCAGTTAATATCTGGTCTAATTCTGTTAATTCTTTATTAAAACCATACATTTTTGCATCTTTCTCATATCAAGATTGTATCTGTACTACAATACTCCATTTCATCCAATTGAGGGTTACAAATGGAATTAGTAGACACAAGAGTTAGTAATACCTAGATTGCTTACTTTATCCAGCAACTAGAATTTTTCAAGTTTACCTGGAAAGGATTTTCAATATCGTAATACTATATATAAATATAATTTATATAACCTATCAATCTAAGTAGTGTTCTTCATATACTGTAGTAAAAATGTGTTACAGTAGTGTCAGTGTTTGTCTCTCACTGATGTCAGTATTACTTAATATATGATATGTACTATTATTATTGTTGGAAGAAAAATCAGGTCCGGTTCCAAGTCGCGAAAAAGACGCTGAAATAAAATGGAGGTACGAAAGAAGGTCTCTGTTTATTTGATAGCCAGAAACTTCAGTGACAACATGTTTCTGGGGTGGCTGACAAAATGGAGTTGAGAGTAAGTAGACATTTATATATTCTTTGGGCTTTGTGATTGAGATGCCTGTTCTTATGGAAGAATGTCCTTTAGTGTTTTAATGGCTGTTGACAGATTCCTATGAGGTCATGTAGGGGTCATAGCTGGCTCTACAGGCAAAAGGGGAAATGCAAACCCCAGATGTTTTATTTGTCTGAGCTACTCTTGTCAGCTTCATCTCCTTACATATTCTGTTGCTTATTTGGAGTTTCTGGCCGCTCTTTACTTATGAATAGTGTGGCCCAGTTTCTGAATGGATAAAAAAAATCCATTCCTAAGGATTAGCCTCTTCAGGTTTCTGCTTGAAGCTGTTTTCCTATACCAGAAATACTGGGGCTGCTTTCTGCTTTTAAGAAGTCTCTCCTGTTCCGGTTGAACTTCTGGCACCTTCAGAAGCGAGGTCTACAAGCTCCGTGGCCCCATTCTGAGCTCTCCCATCAGGGGCTTCATTCAAAGCCATAGCCACCCTGGAGGGGTGGTGAAGCAAAGCCGCATCTCCCCTCCCTGACTCAAAAACCCCCCTCACCCAAAGACTAGGAGCAGCAGCAATCAAAATGGCTGCCATGAAGCTGGGGAACAGCCAGAAACTATAAGTTTGTGCAGGATGAGAGAAACGGTGAATGATATGTTGTCTGGATGAGAAAAGATTTATTGCTGAAGCTTGACCCCTCCCCCAAATTCATGTGGAATACATTTTAGAAAGATTTATTAAAGCAGTATGCAATTATTGTGAAAAAACATATTGGAAATTTAAAAAGTAAATATTTGTTTAAAAAGAAAATTAAACTGGAAATTGAATCCTCAAAAGGTGTGATATTAAGAAGGCATATTTAGATGCTGGAACCATAACTCCACCCTTTCTTCAAATAATTTCCTTTAAGTATTGGATTTATAAGTTAAAACAAACAAGAAATAAATCGGATTTGTCAAAATAAAAGCAGAGAGGCAGCAGAGTGAAGTAAAGTGCGCCATCTGCTGATGAAAGTGAATTTTTGCAACTTGGGAGTAAACATTGAAATAAATGGAAATAACTATTGAACTATACATATTACCTTTTAACCACTGGAGACTGGAATATTAAATAAGATTTTGCATTTGGAGACCCCTGAATATTGGATATATAAAAACGAGTGAAGGAGTGGAGCATCCCTGAAGTAACTAACTGATTTAATTGAACATTGATGAGACATTAAAACTTGACTTGGAGGCTTGGTTTCTGAACTGACGATTGTGGAGATTTAAACGGAATGGAGTTAATGATTCAAAGCATTAAGGACCTTATAAGGACATGGTGGAAGTATTTGATCGTATAGATAGAAGACAGGAAAATTGTATACAAGAGACAAGGAGCAAAGACCAGGACAAGAAGGAAAGAATGGAATTAACAGTTGGAATAGAAGGGGAATTAGAATTAAGAAACCAGCAAAAAGAACATAACAAGGAGACACTTTTAAAATTAATAAGGATTGAGGAACTAAAACAGGGGGAATACACTTTAAAAGATTTAAAAAAGAAATGGGAGGAACAGGAAGAGGCTTGGGGGGAAAAGATAGGATTTAGAACAGAAAGCTTTCAAATTAAACAGTGGGAAAGGGCAGGACAAGGAGAAAAAATTAAATTATGGATTCAGACTATAAACCTTGAAATAGATGGAATAAATGACTTAAGAAAAAATATGGGAGACAAGTCAAAAAAGAGGTCGGATTAAAATTAGAAAAAAGATAGAATAGGAATATGTTGAATGCTTTAAATGATCGTGATCAGGGTGGATTTGATTTAAATCGAGTTGATTTAAATCACAATTTAAATCATGATTTAAATCACTAGTAAAAAGGCTTGATTTAAATCAACTTGATTTAAATCATAATTTTTAAAGAGCAACTGTCATCTCTGCTATTCCTTTGACCCATTGTTGACTCACCGAGTCCGTGTTGCAGAATATACAGCCTCATGCTACATAACTAAGCTCTATGCTGAATAAACTAAATTATGTATCTTAAATAGAAAACTATCTTACGATAGATTTTTACCCCAAAAGTTTTTTATTAAAATAAATTCGATAAAAAACAAAAAAATCCGATTTAAATAAAAAAAATCTGATTTTTTTGATTTTTTAAAAAAAATCATCGATTTTTATCCACCCTGATTGTGATTGATATTATAAGTCACTATTGAGATATTAAATAATGGAAGAAAAAAAGAAAGGAACTTTAATATATATATAGAGGAAGAGTTCAATAATGGGAATATGAATAATAAAACAGATTATCATGTCTTTGAATATAATAATGTGAAGGGGGAAAATGTTAAAGAAAGTTTAGAATGGAAGGGTGGTAAAGCAATGTATTAATAATATGGAATAAGGAAAATGGAATGTAATAATTATGAATTCAATTTATTTGTATTGAATTGTATGATACTCAGATGCACCATTCACATGATATATATAAACTATACAAAAAAACTTGATTTTTTTAAAAAAAGATGTCTCTCCTCTTCTCTTTCAAGAGAAATATTCTATTCTGCCTCTTTTTAATATTAAGAATAAAAAATATTTTATGGGGAGGGGGGCTTTCCTACATCATTAAACTGTATCTGATACAAAAGTAATGTTTCCAATACAATTAAGTTATGTTTAAGGGGCATGCATAAGTGCACCAGCATGCCTACCGTCCCTGTCCTAATGTTTTTTTATTCGTATCCTTTTCATGTATTTATAATTATGTTTACACTTGTATCTGTCATAAAATACATGCTTGACGAAATAAAAAAATAAAAACCTATTTTAATACATTTTAAATGATATATAAATAATAGGAGTATGCTCACTGTAATTTGCTTTATTGTAGTAAATTGTTTTAGTGATTTGTCTGCGCAAAACAGCTTGTATTCTTACTTAGTGAACTGTTTAAAATCTCATTAAATTTCAGTATCAGTATCTGATTGTGTATAGGCTCTTACAAATCTAATTACTAAATATAAAATATAAATGGTAGAGGTGATAATATACAGGGCTATAAAAGTGTGGAAAGGTTTGCTTGGATTTTTTAAAGTGCTATTTATCTAGATCACAGAGTAGGGTTTTCAGAGCTCAGAATCCCATTCTGCAGGACAAATTATGCTCACCCATGCCGTGCTTTGTATGAGCCAGTGAGCCAGATGCTATTCACTGCTACAGCATAAAAGCACAAAAACCTACCAGACCAGGGAAAATGGTTAAGATTTGGGGGGAGAAGGGCTTTTGTGTGACTAGCTCTTTATTTACTGCTAATCGGGTTTAGCCCATATTATTAAGCATTGCAACAGAAACCAATACCTCTCAGGGAAGAATCTTAGGGGCAGCTTAATAAAGCATCATAGCCATATTCAAATAGAATTTAGATAGATGCTATAAATTTTGAGTCTACATTCAGAGCATTTTTCCAAATTTCGCACCGAGGAAAAAACTCGGAAGAGTTGCTGAGCGAGTGCAACCGAAACGCTTTAGTATTATGGATATTTCTATAAGGAATATTGCTATAACACCGTCCGTTTTCTCTATACAGACCGAGTATAAATGATTGGAAAGCGACCCTGTCACCGGATGGGTGGCCGCGAGGGTGTGCGACATCGATGCGCCCTGGCTCCCGGAGGCGCTCGCTAGAGGAGGGAAGAGGGCTTCCCGCTCTGGAGCAGGATTGGCCGGCGCGATGTGACGGGCTCGGCCGCCTCCATCCGGGGCGGAGGAGGGCCGCTGTGTTTCCCCGCCTCCGCCTATGCCGGCTCCGTGAGGCTAATTCCTGTTTTTTTCCCCCACTCTTTGAGGTGTCTGCAAGTTTGCCTGCGTGCTCGCCATTCTTTCGAAGCAACCACGGTGAAGAGGAAGAAGCAGTTGGAAGCCGAGGCGGGCAACCACAACGGGTGAGGAAATGAGAGGCGGAAGAAGCCGTCGCCGCTTTTGCGTCGCGGTCTCGGGTGAGGCAGTCCAGAGAGGCCCGGCCGCCAGACGGCTTTCGGGGCCTTAGTTGACGGCTGCTGGCTTCAAATACTGCTGGCTTCAGAAAGTCGCATCTCGCCTTCCAGGTGTCTCCCACGGGATGAAGGGTGCAGGTTGCGTTCGTGCGTGCGTGCGCGGGACCTGGTGGGGAATCCCGCTAGAGATACCGAAGGGGGCGCAGGACTTGAGGCCTTGGGTGGCCTTTCCCCCTCCCTCCCCCCCTCCCTCCCCCGAAGGGAAGGAAAAGGAAAAGAAACGCCCTAGTGCTCGGTATCGCCCATAACGATGCACAGGCAGAGAAATACTCCAGCGAGATAGGAAATATTGGACAGTAATCGGCATAGCGTGTATGGATTAACGCGTGCGCCGCAGCGCTGACCTTAACTGTCATTCCCTTCCAGTTTTGACCCCACGTGCGCTCCGGATTTTCGCTTGTTCAGAGTGAAACAATGCACGTGGTTATGAAAAGAAAATCCATATTACAGAGTGATGCCATTCTTCCAGTGGAAAGATATCGCTCGATTATGCATGTTCAGATCAATTCTGTGAAGATTTAGAAGTCTGTTTTATTTATTTTTCTGTATTCCCGAAGATTATCACTGTCATACTATGAACTTTCTAGTATCTAACCTATTGGTAATAATTTATTATCGTAATATTGGATTTAGGTACCACCAAGTCCCAACACATTATTTGAAACATGAAAAACAAGACAGTAAAATGAAGAACAAACACAAGGAAGGATAGAGATGGCGAGATAACAAAGGGGAGGGGAAACAAAAGAAAACAACCTAAATTAAAAGGAGACTTCAGTCATCTCACCTTTAAAAGTCTTTAAATTAAACAAAGTTTCACAATAGAGGATTTTAGCAACATAGGATGAGAGAATGGACATCTAAAAAGCATTAAAATGATAACATTTATAGCAAATTAGTTGTCTATTTGCTTTTGGCTTTCGGATGTGATGTTTGAAGCAATGTAGCGTTGAATGGAGAGTTAATAAAAATATGTAATGCAACTAAAGCAGGTTAATGTTAATATATACAGAATGGTCTCTAAATCCATATGAATAGTATTAATTTATGTTGTTTTTAGGGATCACTGGTAATTAAGGATATAAAACCCATTTTTCAATCCCTCTATAAAAGGTTGAATAATATTTCAGTCTTAAGAAGAGTTATCAGCAAATAATGGAGGATTATCTATTTATGAATTTTTATCCTTTGTCCATTTGCTATCTTCTTTATACAGTATGGTTATATTCTTGTACAAATGTTATTTATTGCTAGAACATTAGTTAAAAAGAAACTCAATATCCACATTATAAAATTTAGGTTACATTGCTAGAAAATCAATCAGATATAATTTGAATCAAATATGTGGTATCAGTTACCAGGTTGAGGCTTTGAACGGAGAAAATAAATCTCTGATGTGCTGTTGCTGGCTGCAGTCATAGTACTATGGTAAGATACTATTCTTCCCTGATTTAGAAAGTATAAAACTGAAGTTGGTGAAATAGGAATTAAAACCATATAAAATAACCATACAAACATATCCACATCTATTTATGGATATAATTAATGAACAACCTCTATTTTTTTCTAAGATGATTTGTTTCCTTCATTGTTATGGCCTCCTATTTGCTCTTCAAATTTATAATCTGTTTATTTAACAAGTTTTCTCAAATCATGGCATGCCCAGTCACCTCATTTCTGAAAGAGGGACTTAATTCATTGGATGTTTTTGGAAGGCATATTTCAAATATTGTATGTAAAGTTCCAGCTATACTCTGTCTGCAGTCAAATGAACAAATGCAACGGAAACTTTTACTGCTGAATAAAGTATTTGTCAGACTTGGCCCAGCTAGGTCCTTAGCAGTGGTGGGATTCAAATAATTTAACAACTGGTTCTCTGCCCTAATGACCAGCTGGTGGGCATGGCCAGGGAGTGTGACAGGCAGCACTCAGACTCCTGTACCCCCTGGGAGCAAAAATGAGCCATGGGGGGAGACACACAGCTGTCCTATGCCCCGTTTTACGCCTAGTAGGCCTTCCTGAAACCTCCTGGGAGCAAAAATGGGCCATGGGGGGGGCGCCCCGCACCCCCGCACCCTATATTGGGCCTAGGATGCAATTTGAGGGGTAGCCTGGGATTACTCGGGAATAGATACAAAGTCCTACCTGGTGGCTACTTTGAAAGGAATGAATCCAGTGCTACTATGTACTAAGTTATTGTAAACCACTTCAGCGAAAGGGAGGAGGTCCGCCCAGTCCTGCTGGTAGTTAATGTAACATGTGAGGTATTGTTCTAAGACCCCATTCATATGTTCACAGGCCCTATTCATTTCAGAATGATGGGAGGTCATTCTAAGTCCCTGGGTGGTCCCTGAAATTTTAGGAATTCTTGCCAAAAGTTGCAAGAATTCACAAAGTGAATTGGAGTCTACGATCTGATATACTGGTAATTCTCTCCGGAGTTCCATGCAGTCTATATTAATGCTGTATGATCAGTTTAGCTAAGGTCTGAGCTGAGATGATTTTTTGGCATTGTACAAAATGTACATGTTTAGAGAATAGATCAGGTATCGCCCAGATTACAGTGTTTCCTGTACTTTATGTAGTTTACTATAAAGTCCTTCCATGGTGTTTTGGGCTGTGCCACTGGCTGAAGGAGCCCTGGTGACTTCTCCTGATGTCTTTCTGTATAGGCACAGGTGAGACAACTAGCCACATAGTTTTCTATGTCCTTCTATAATGATGGCTATCAAAATTGACATTTAACCAGGTGTAGGGTCTTTACAAAGATGAAGTGCCCCACTAATTTCAGATCATGACTTTTTTGTAAGACTATTATTTGTTGGCTTTCTGGGACAAATAGTTTGGCTTCCACACTGGGTAATTCATCTTGTATTGTACATTCATTTTTATGGGCTTGAAATCATTTGTCTCTTTCTAGCGCTGCTTTTAACATGCTTAAGTCTCTGTTATTTGGGTTTTGAGTTCCCCTTGCACTGTGGGGGTGACCGGAAGCTGCCAGTTATCAGGATAGGAATAACTTCTGGCTTGGAATTATTATATTGTGGTAGTCTGGACAGACCATCTGCTAGGAAATTCTTTTCCTGGGAGGTACCACAAGATGAAATTGAACAATTTGAAGTACTAAGCCCAATGGACATCCATGGGTTTTACAGGGCCAGGTTTTTGTGGTCTGTCCATAGTTCAAAAGGGGCTTTGCTTCCTTCTAAGAAATGCCTCCCAAGTCAGGAGGCCCAATGTACAACATTAAGTACATTTCCTTTTCCCAAACTGCCCACCTGTATTCAGTCTGAGCTTTTTGGAGGTGTAAGAGCATGGCTGCAGGCTCCCTGGTCATTTTTCTGCAGCAACATAGCCCTCACTGCCATGTCACTGGCATCTGCCTGGATGACAAAAGGAGGTTTGAGTCAGGGTGTTTTAGCACCGGATCTGCTGCGAACAAGCACTTGAGTTTCTTGAGTACCTCGACATTCCATCATCCATTTCAGAGGTTGGCTAGGCTTAGGCTTACCTTTTCCTTTCATCTTCACCAAGTTGGTGATGGGCAGGGCTATCTGGGCAAATGATAGGATGAACTGGTGAAAAATAATTGCGTATCTCAGTAAGCTTTGACATCTGGGGGCTTGGAGGAGCCCACTCCAAAACTCCCTGCACTTTTTCAGGATCCATTTCTATTGCCTCATGGGAAAGGAACGTTAGTCTTACCTGATACGATCCTTCTCATTGAGTGGTGGCAGCATCCAGAAATGGGTTGTCCTCGTCTGTTAGCCAATAGGACTGAGACTATCAAAGTTGCAAGGAGACGCCTACACCAACGGTCCCCAGCTTTTGGCGAAGGAATAGTGACAGCCTCGACGTGTGATGACCAGAAAAACAAAGCACAAGTAGTCAAACAAGCAAACCACCACCCCCTAAAGGACCTAGGCCAGTTCCAGATTAGGGTGGGGCTGGATGCTCTCACCACTCAACGAGAAGGATCATATCAGGTAAGACTAACATTCCTTCTCCATTGTTAATGGTGGCAGCATCCAGAAATGAGACATACCAAAGCAGTGCTGTCCTTATGGGTGGGCCACAGTCTGGCCCTAGGTCCCCTCATGCACTTGTTGGAGGACCCGCCTCCCAAAGGCTGTCTCAGCAGAAGCATAGAAATCTAGCTTATAGTGCCTGATAAATGGGGACGGAGAGGACCAGGTAGCAGCATGGCAAACCTCCTCTAGAGAGGCCTGAGTAGCCCACGCTGCACTTGTGGCCGCAGTCCTCGTGGAGTGTGCCGTAATAGTCTTGGGCGGAGGAAGGGCCTGCATCTCATAAGATTTGGTGATACACGCCTGAATCCAATGGCCCAGGGTCGAAGGAGTGACCTTGGCCCCCAAGGAGGCCGGCTGAAATGAAACAGAGTGTCAAGACGACTTCGAAACCTGACAGAGAGACTCCGTCTTCCTGAAGGAAGAGGTCCGCTTTAAGTATATCCGGAGTGCTCTCCGCACGTCTAACATGTGCCACTTACGTTCCAGCGCATGCACTGGGGTGGGACAAAAGTTTGGGAGCACCAGCTCCTGTGTCCTGTGAAACCAAACCTACTTTTGGTAGGAAAGAAGGGTCCAAACGTAACACCACCCTGTTGTCATGAAATACACACAGGTCTGGGCGGACCGAAAGAGCCGCCAGTTCAGAGATCCTCCTGGCCGAAGTTATGGTGACCAGGAAGGCCACTTTGAGTGACAGGAAGCCCAAGGAGACCTCTTGCAGGGGCTCAAAGGGATCAGCCATCAGAGCCTGTAGCACCTTGGTGAGGTCCCAAGTCGGAAAATGGTGAACCACCGGAGGCCTAAGATTTGCTGCGCCCCTGAGGAACCTAAGAATGTTCGGATGGCAAGCCAGAGAAT